CCTCCTGGCTCATCTTCGAGGTCTTCCTGACCTTCCTTAAAATACTTCATCAGAAATCTGTTGTTTGATGTGGTGCAGCATTTTTGTATACTTGTTGCAAAGATTCAATTATTTTGGAGGACATCCACTTGAATTTTGTTTAAAATTTCCTATCAGCCAAGACCTTCAAAAAGTATTATTATTGTTTTGGTTTTTTTTTTAATCACTAGTGTGGTGCTGTAGGATAAGCACTGTACTGCTAACAGCAAGGTCAGCAGTTCAAACCCATGAGCCACTCTCAGAAACCCAATACAGTCTATGAGTTGGAACCAGCTAGACAGCAAACAACAACAACGAAACTAAGGTAAGTATTACTCAGGGAACTTGTCTGCCACCATCCACTGTTTACAGAGACATGTTTAAACACATTTTGTTTGGAATAAGTCCATGCATGTATGAGCTGGAACCTTACTAGCAATACTTTTTGATTGACGCTTATAAAATCCTTTGCCTCCGGAATACATAATTTGGAAGGTGTATCAGAAATGGGGCTGGTGAGGAAGGGAGGCTACAGTAAAACTTTCTTGTTCAAAAATATGGTATGATGAAAATTGAAGATGCTTGGAATCAGTCAGTCCACTAGACTAAGGGAGCACAAGAACATGGGTCTCCCTGATCCTGAGACCAGAAAAACTAGGTGGTGCCCGGCTACCAATACTAACTGCTCTGAAAGGGATCACATTAGAAGGTACTAGATAGAGTTGGAGAAATTATGGTTCAAAACTCAAAATTATTTGAAAAAAAAAAAGACCAGGCCTACTGGTCAGAAAGATACTGGAGGAACCCAATTCACTCTCATAGCTCGATTTTCAGTCAACCTTGCAGGTTCAAACCAACTTTGAAGTCCAGCGCATTAACCCACAATGCCACACCAGGACTCCAGATAGGTATAAGGGGGTACATATAAGGGGGTACAACAACACTAGTGAGATATGTGTACCATGGAATAGTCAACCATTAAAAAACAAAAGGGTAGTATTTACTTAAAGACAAATTCAGAATAGTTGGGAAAAAAGATAGAATGGAAACAAGAATCACAAGGTAGCAAGTGGGAGATACAATGTTACACTGAGGGGGTACAATCACTGAAATGTCTTGTTGTATGTAAAACAGATGATCTCATCTGCAAACCTTCACTCAGTTCACACTAATAAAGAAGAAAGCAAAATATGGCATGAGTTGTAAAAAGATGAGGAAGAGGAGGGATTGAGAAATAGAGGATCTGGAATGTCCAAAATAAGTGAACTAAAACTAAAAAAGAAACAAATAGTGTCCAAAAAAGCCAGTTCAGAATGGAAAGAAAAAGTTGACCAAGTACAGAACCTATGCTCACAAAGTATTTACCAACAGTTCCCAGGTTACAAATGTCTAATTTATGTACAACCTGTAGTTACGAATCCCCGTAGGGTCCACTATATCAAAAATTTGAGGTACATTTATAATGGTTCATAATAACATATGGGCACTACTTTTATACATACATGAAACATTTATGTTAAAGATGTGTTGGTATATCTGGAAATATCCTTTCATGTTTTTTATGCACAGAAAGGTACACTATATACCACATTTGATTAATGTTAGACATGAACTGAAACGTGCCTAACTGTTCCAACTTAATTATACATTCAACTTAAAGGCAGCCATTAAAAAGGAATCTGTTTCTAAGCCAGGGTCTGCCTATTGTACTAATATGTAGTACCAAAACTTGTTCACCAAATTCCAAAGTCACGTCCTGTTTTTCCCATCTCAAAGACTGTATCTCTATTTAACCTAGACATTCAGATGAGATAGAGTAGACTCATTCATTCATTCAAGGTTTGAGTGCATAGTGCTAAGCACTAGATATTTTCCTGTCTCCCACTGTTGTTGAATGCCACTGTTTGGTGCTGTAAGGTCAGCACTAGACTGCGAACCACAAGGTCAGCAGTTCAAACCCACCAGTTGCTCTTTGGAAACCCTATACAGGTTCACCATGAGTTATAACCAATTTAACAGCACTTAATAACAGCAGCATATTTAGTCAAACTCTTATTTAATTCACCTCTAATATGATGGCTGGAACTGCAGTTGCCTTGGTAGGGCCAGACCAAATAATTTTGTGGGCCTTATACGGTCCATAGGCTGGATGTTCCCAACCCCTGCTACACAGGGTTGCTATGTAGTCAGACTTGACTCGACAGCACTTAACAACAACAACAACTATGGTTACTAGGAATGGAAGGGATGGGGAAAGGGAGAGTCATTGCACAGGGAACACAGATATTTTGTTAATAATGGTTGAAGAACTTGGAAATAGATAATGGTATCATTAGACACTAGTGATAAAGTCTGACTGAAACAGAGTAAGTCCTTGTTCTCATGAAACATGTTAATAAAGGTATGCACAAGATGTAAGATCTAACTGTAGAAAGAACATCTAATTCTGCCTCAATCAGTCAAATGACACTAGATGAATAGGTAAATCTGACACAAATTATAGAAGGATAAGTTCAACAGAATGACAAGCTGGAAAAACATTCGTGAAGGAAACAGAAGCATGAGAGAGCAGAAGTGCTAGAGGAGGAGAAGAGAACGAGAACCAGCTGCTGTGGCATCAGCTCCGACTCATGTCAACCCCATGATGTTCAGAGTAGAACTGGGCTCCACGGCGTTTTCAATGGCTGATTTTCCAGAAGCAGACTGCCAGATCTCTGGATGGATTCAACCTTCACTTGTTAACTCTTTGCACAACCCAGGGACTCTGGATAAAAGAGAGGTGGTGGTGAAACGGAACTTGGAAACTATGTGTAAGAGTAATAGAGATTGGAATCTAAGTTTCCTTTCTCTAGCTACATGAATACTGTACCAAGAGGAGGACTGTGGTATGTCTACGGACAGGTAATAAAAAAACAAACAGTTTATAAAACTTAGATTACTATTTTAGAGTTGGGCTCATTCATCACTTTACCTTAAACTTTTCAGTGGCTTCCCATCTTCTATCTACAATATATTTCAGAGGGGGAGAATCACACAGGTGCTGGAGAGGTGGTTACGTGCTGTGGGTCAGCTCTGACTCCTAGTGACCCTGTATAGGGGGACTTCCAAAGCTACAAATCTTCATGGGAGCAGAAAGATGCATCTTTCTCCTGTGGAGAGGCTGGTACATTTGCCTCATGGTTAACAGTCCAACGTGTAACCCACTACACCACCAAAAAGTTGGTACGCCAGTATGCTCCTTGTGTTAAACAAAGAGGCTAACTTTTTTAAACAAACAACCCACAAATACAATCTACTCTTACAATCATTTCCTAAAAGACTATTTAACACCAAATAAAAGGATAATCTCTTCTCAAAGTTCAACTATTTAAATTGAGCAAATTTATATAAAGCCTATTATATGGTCCTTATTTTTCTATTTCATGTTACTCTGAGGACATAATTTAAGAATCACCAATGTATTCTAAGGGATCAAGTTCAAACACAGCCTTAGCACTGAAATACTAAGGTCAAAACATTTCCTCATCTTTCTCTTCTGACTAGTTCTCTTGCGTCATCTCCTGGTACTGGCCCAATCACATTTTGCCCTCCAACTATCCTACTTACTACTGGTAGGTCCCTGAAGAAACCCTTCATATTTTCAAATGTCCTGCTACCTCATTCTACTCATCTCCACAACTTAGCTTAAATGCTGTCTCTTCCATAAAGCTTTCCCTGGAAGATCACCATATAATGAACTATTGGGTTCACCAACATAGAGATTGTTTTGGAAACTGAAAGTGTGCACAGTATATAGGGCTTACAACCAAACAAACAGAAATAATTGTGCATTAGTCAAAATACACACTATCCATTAGTAAAAACACAGAGGCCAACATGCGTAGCATCAACAAACATATAGTTTCAAAATGCAGATTACTATTTTGCAAATAATGGCACAAAGTGCTAGTATGGAAAAGATGTCATTATTTTTTAAAAGAGTGATATTTTTATCCCAAGAGCAGAAAATAAAACTTAAACTATGTTAATTAAAACAATAAGGAATGAAAGAGTGCTCACAGTATGAGTAGATACCAAACTTGACCTCAGTCTAGAAAAGAGGTAAATAGGAGAATTGCACTCACTGAATGAAAGGAAGGTATTTGAAATGAGGGCAGAGGTAGTTAAGATACGACCAACAAGACAGACCGGGCTCACAGCCAGACAGAAACGAAGATGACACACTGAAGTTGCTGGCCTTCAAACCCTACTGGAATCACACAGTTTGTTAGTACAAAATATTTAGCAGGGTCTATATTTATGTGCCTAATAGAAGCTCTGGGATTCACTGTCTAATGATAAACCAAAGTGCCTATTGAAGGAGAAAAGTATTTTTTTATCTCAATGCAACTGAGGAAGAGGGAAAAAGTAAAGGTAATTTAGTTATCGTAACATATCATACTTATTTCTCTTCCTCAATAAATTGTTTTTCTTAAGAATAAGGCCTGTGTTTTATTTCTCTTTATAATTTTGATATTTAGCATCGTGCTCAATATAAGGATTCAAGAGTTAAATTATGGAAGCTTAAAATTGGGAAAGCTGAAGCTTGAAAGAAAAACTTCAAAGTTAAAAAAAAAAGAAATTTATGCCTAACTATTAAGACACTAGAAGGAGCTCAGGTAGCATAGTGGTTACGAATCGGGCTGTGAACCTCAGGGTCAGCAGTTCAAAATTACCAGCTGTTCCGCGGGGGAAAGATGAGGCATTCTGCTCCCGTAAAGATTTACAGCCTCGGAAATCCTGTACAGGGTCGCTATGAGTTGGAACCGACTCCATGGCACATAACAACAACATTAAGACACTAGAATTTAAAATCACTTATACAAGGGTAAGTCAAAAAGTGTATTACAGGGCTGCTATGTTTTTTAAACGAGTGGCGGGTACTGCTGCTGGAGCCACTGTTTACCCTGTGACACCGCACGACATCATGCGTAGGCGCAGCTATGGCACTGCAGCTCACCCGGGAGCAGGGGATCACCCTCTACGGGAGCGCCGAAATTGTGGCCTGAGTTCTTCTCATTTGGCATTCACAGCATTTTATATCAAAGTGGCATATATCCATCTGAAACCTTTACTCGAGTGCAAAAGTACGGGCTCACTTTACTTGTGACTACTGATTCTGAGCTCATCAAATACCTAAGTAATGTGGTGGAACAGCTAAAAGATTGGTTATACAAATGTGCAGTTCAGACACTGGTAGTAGTCATCTCAAATATTGAAAAGTGGTGAGGTCCTTGAAAGATGGCAGTTTGATATTGAGTGTGACAAGACTGCAAAAGATGACAGTACACCCAGGGAAAAGTCTCAGAAAGCTATTCAAGATGAAATCCGTTCAGTGATCAAACAGATCACTGCCACAGTAACATTTCTACCACTGTTGGAGGTGTCTTGTTCATTTGATCTCCTGACTTATACAGATAAAGATTTGGTTGTGCCAGAAAAATGGGAAGAATTGGGACCTCAGTTCATTACCAATTCTGAGGAAGTCCGTCTTCGTTCATTCACTATTACAATCCACAAAGTAAATAGCATGGTGGCCTACAAAATTCCCGTCAATGACTGACAGATAAGATGAGAAAAATAATGTGAGTTGCAAGTCTCAAATGTGTTTTCCTGAAACTAAGTCAACTATAAGTTGATATGTTTTATTTCATTGGTTAATTTTTAAGATGGGGGAAACAACATTATACTTTACTAAACTGTATAATTCTTTTTTTGTACCTGTTTGGCATTCCATGAGTTAACTTCATTAATTAGAGATTATGGTATTATTCCCTCACTAATGTATATGGCTAAGTAGAGTAGCACAGAAGATTATTGTTCAAAAGGAAACTAGCAGATTTCATCACCACTGGATTCCATCAGCACTCTCAGTTCTTTTGAAGGTTGTAAGTGTAGTTGAAAATTTTTTCTTAAAAAGTTAATACCGTCTTTAATCACACATTTTGAGTCAGAATTTAGGTAGAGTGGTATTGTAAATTACAGCAAAACAAGAGTTAATATCAGAATCTATTTAGATCCTGAAAATAACTAATATAATCCATAAGTAATGAAATAGAGACATATAGTTCCCATGTTGAAAAACCTTACAATTACTTGATGTTAATTTATATAACTTGTACCTGAAGCTATGGGTTCCAATGTTTATTTTCTGTGATAGAGAAGTTTTTAAAAATGTATTTATGTTTGGTAAAATCAAGCTTTAAATGACAGGTGAAATAAAGTTAAATTTGTATGTTATATAAAAAAAGTGTATTACAAAGGTTCCAATTCATATGTGTACAGGTTTGTTTCAAACAAAATGTGTTGAAACATGTCTCTGGGATCAGTGGATAAGTACAGACAAGTGCTCTCTCGTTGAGGTGCCTTCAAAAAACAGGTCCAATCACAACAGTGGCTTCCAAGGGGTTCTGCTGGACTAGTTAAATTCAAAGCAGAGATGTGCACTCAGGTTAGAACTTTTCTTTCAGGATTCTAAAGTAGGAATCTTACTAGATTTTCTTGAAGGACACAACACAGTCACAGAAACCCATTAAGAAGAAATTTTAAGAAAATCAAACATTGCACTGGGGAGAAAAAGTCCACAGTGCATCTGCTCATTCTTTGAGAGCAGCAAGGCTGTCCTAAGAAATTTCATTGTGAAACCTTACCCTCATCTACCTTATAGCCTTGATCTTTGTCTTCAGTTCCCAAAACTCAAAGAACAAAATTTGAGATCCTTGAGGATGTCAGAACTGCTTTTCTGACGTGCTGTGAATCAAAGAGTGCAGAATTCTTTGAAGCATGTTTAGAACAAGGGTGGGTGGGTGGGAAGCATTCGGCCCATGGACCTGTGAAATTAGTTGGTCTGGCCCTGCCAAAGCAACCGCAGTTCCAGCCACATATTAGGGGTGAGTTAATTAAGTGTTTGACCAAATGTTGTTGTTGTTA